TAACATAGTAATCACATTGTATTAGGTATTATAAGTAATCAAGCGTGATTTAAAATATACCAGAAGATATACAGAGGTTATCTGCCAATACTATACATTTTATATGATGGATTTGAACATCTGTGGAAATTCATATATATTATTAGGCCCAGGTAAGGAAGGGGTGGTAGCTTGGGCTTTGTCTTGATGCCCACTTGTCCTGGGGTGGTTGTAGCTCTGTGTGTGTGCATAATGAACACACGCACCCTCTTGAAATGCAGAGGCATAGCCTTCAGAATACTCTCAAAGGGGTCACAGTCCTCTCCAAGTTCAAGACCTGCCACTGAGAGCAAGGGGTATATTTGGCAGAGTCTGAATCAGGCAAACTAAATCTTTGCCCCTTCATGAACTCACTTGGGTCATGTGGTAAAGTTTTCCTATTTAACTCAGGATGTTTTGCTTCTCTCACGAGTTGACTTAATAACATCAGGCCACCGACAAAAGGCAGTGCCTGCGAGGCAAGTACGTGAGGAGACCAGGCTGGAGGATGGGGCCAGGACAGCAGCGGGGGAGGTCACGCTAGTCTCTGCCACCAGCAGGAAAGCCCCAGGCTCTCAGAGATGGAGACTTGTGCCATCTCTTGCCCCTCCCTCCCCTGTTCAAATGTGATTATGTCTCCCAGAGCAGACGGAAATCAGGTTAGTGTCACTGAGCAATGCTGAGCTGAGGTAATAAGAGCCCGCAGCAGAGCAGGTGCTAGCTGTAATGTGGCTTCGGAGAATTAGGACAAGCTGACTTGTAGCTCAGTGCCTCGTGGACATTGGAGGAGTCATTTCGAACACTGTCCACGCGGCCCCTTGCTGCTTCTGCAGCCTGGATCCCTAACACCTGCCCACTGTCCTCCCTCTCGAGCTACAACATGCTGGGGCTTGTTGGAAGTACATCTGGCGCTACCCCAAACACTGAGTTCTTTAACTGGCAGCTCAGGGACAATGCTCCAGGAATCCTCTCTTTAGGTGTGACAGGACAACAAGGTTAACTAAACCTGATGTCACTTTTGGTCTGTTCCTGCTTTTGTGTTTTCTTGGACAATTACCTACCTCTGGGACTCTACATAAATTGACTATAAAGTAGGAATTTTGATCCCATCTAATTCATTAAGGCTGCTGGGGTGATTAAATATGATTTAGAAAAAGCTCCTGACACCCAGCCTGCCATCAAGTAAACACTCAAAAAGTATCATCCCTTTCTAGTCTCAACTGAGGCTGAGCTCAACAACAGGTAAGGGGTTTAAAATGTAAGGTGTATTCATAAAAATGTCATATAGCTTTAGATCATATTTTCTTAAAAATTAGTTCATGAGGGCTGGGGATGTAGCTCGAGTGGTGTTGCGCTTACCTGGCATGCGCGAGGTGCTGGGTTCGATCCTTAGCACCACATACAAATAAGATAAAGATGTTATGTCCACCAAAAAATAAATATTAAAAAAAATTCTCTCTCTCTCTCTTTAAAAAAATTAGTTCATGATATGGCTAAATCATCACAAAATGAAATAAAAATGCAAGATGCCGAGTCATATCTTAATTACTTTAATTTGCTGAAAGAAAAATTGTAAAATTACATAACCTGCCGTATTGTATATTACTTGCGTGACCTTGGGCCTATCACTTATCTTTTGAACTTCAGTCTCCACTGCTCTCAAGGGACAATCATAACACTTGCCATGCCTTTCCTAAAGAGTCAAATGAGATATATTCTTGGAAAGCACGAGACCAGTGCAAAGTATCGCCCACATCCCGTTGGGCGATGGAATCGGGATCACTCTGCTTGGTTCCCGCTGGCGTGAAAAGACCACAGGGACACGGAAGTAGTTTTTTCACAAAGAGGGCTTTGCAGATGGCTCTGTGACCTCAAGGGTCCTCTTCCATTCTGGAAGGCAAGAGAGCGAGTGCACCTGGATCCCCTTTATTTATAGGGAAAAGACATTTGATAGAATATTCTACCCAAAATAAGGCAGGGGATAAGTTTTCAAAGGGGGTTGCCCAATCCTATTGGGTAACACTGAAGCCCAGAGCTGAAGCACTTCTTTGTCGAGCGAAGGTAAAAGCCACTTACTTAGTACATAGCGCTTGGCATGCGATGCCAGTCTGATACCCGCTTTACTCAAGGTTGAAAGGGGATGCTTAGCTCATGGGCAAGGCGCCCTCCCCTCTCCCCCGTCACCCACAGCAAAGGACGAGGCATAATTTTATGGTTTCTACAGAAATGTTTCATGCTTATTACAAATAAATCAATAATTACATTAGAGTGTAAAAAAAAAGGTGTGTGTTAACCAGAATCTCATCTCAGGAGATGAGCAGTCATAATAATTGGTGAACATCATTCTAGAGACTCTTCTATGCATACAGTAATAGATAAAAATAATTTTAACAAGGGAATATTTAATATGTATGCAATTTTAATAGCAGAAGTTATTGCATTTAGTCCAATTAGCATTTAGCAGAGAATCATTAGCTGAAACTGAAAGAATTGCTACACTACAGTTAAATCATTTCCAAAAGACTGGTAAAATGGAGAAAACACAATAACAAGCAATATTAATGTCTTGAGTCATTCTGTGGTTTTATCAAGTACATAATTTTCACTTTTAATGACACAGACAAAGCATTCTAACAGTATCATCTCTACCAACTGAGCTAACCAGGTGCCTTAAAGCATTTTAACATTCAATTAAATATCAGGATGAAATTGCAAATATCAGAGAAAAATAACACACTCAGTTGATTCCCACTAAATGCCCCAACTTGTCTAAGTAGAACAAGTGTGGAGAATGTTGGATGCTTGCAATGAGACAGGCGCACATAGAAAGATGGACAAAGAGGTTTGAGGTTGCCAGGAAAAGTGGAGCTATGGGACTTTAAGTCCATGGGCACCTTTTTCAAGGGTGGGTCCCACGTGTGCTGTATGCTGGGAAGACTGGAGCCCAGCAAGGTGCCTGCCAATATAACACAGAGCTGAGTCACCAACCCAGATCTTTTTGTTCCAAATACATGGCTTAATTTTGAATTAATCTTGCTTTTTTAATTTTCTGTGTTTCTGATGCTTTAACATCTTTGGGACTTACTGAGGAGGGACTGCCTCTCCTGGGCTAGCCAATTCCCATTGATATTCAAAGATTTGCTAGACCTTTCATATGCAGACTAAGCTATCCAGAGCTCCAGGCTTGCTTCCCTCCACCTCCACTGCATTTATGAAGCTCTAACTCTGGGCCATTGTCTACCTACTCTGATCGCCTCAAACTAGGTACCACAGAACAGGCTGCATCCCCTGTGCCCCAGAGCCCAGTGACATTGTTCAAAGCAGCCAATGCTAAACCTGCCTCATCTGTAATTCTCCACAAAAACCACAATAAAGGCTTTTGCTCACATTTTCTCCTCACTCTTCCATCTCTTGACCAATCCTGATGTGTCCCTGTATGCCCCCCCCCACCCATGGCATGGCATGGTCCCCCTCTTGGGTACCATGAAAGACAAGCTAACTTCACTGGCAGTCATCTCCTGATCTACTGGGCTCACCAAACTTAAATAATGATAAAACCCACATTTTGCAACAGCCTGCCTCTTCTGGGCCTGTGAGTAACCTCTTGTGGAGTTGACTCTGCTTGGGCACAGCTCAATGATAAGGGAACTATGCCCAAACAGCACCTGAACATCCTATGAATGACTGGGCAGCAGGGGAACTCTGGTGCTCCGACATTATTTTGCCCAGACAGGACCAGTTGGATGAGCTACCCAAAGGCAGATGCCATGCTACCTTGGCAAAAACATATTGATTCTCACTGAAGTGAATTTGTCTCTCAGATCAATCGAAGGTAGTCATAGGTGAGATGGAACCAGGAAGACCTACGCTTGGGGTTCTTACATGTGAATTCCTGACCTCTCCAACTTTATCCTTATGGCTCATGGTGTTGCTGAGACCTTAGTGGGGGCTTGATAAAGGCTGCATACATTGTGTTAAGTTTTACACTATTGTCATATATAAGGAATAACTTCATTGTCCAGACAGTATAGGACATCCATAAATCAATTAGACTCTTTGCTTTTGGAAATGTTATTTTTTTTCCTTTGGAGAGAATTTCAACTCAGCAAATATATTTAAGCATCTATTCTGTGTTATGCATAGAGCAAATTTCCAGCATTACAAAGAAATAAGACACAGACCGTGGTTTCAGGAGCATCATGGGTCTAGAGAGACAGTGAGTGAGTCATAGGAGAACAGCATAGGTAGTGCTGGTGTAGTCACAGCAGCTCAAGGTGGTCAGGGGACAGGACAGAGCCCAGTGAATGCTGGACCACATTTCCTAGTTATGTGATCTACAGCTCTCAGTGCTTTTTCAGAACACTGCTTTCATAATTATTTTCAACATCAGCGTGCTTCCTCATGAATCTTCTGACAGCCCAAGTTAATCTTTTGGGAAGAGTATCAGGATGGGAAGTGGGGCAGATAAAAGTTAGTGTCAGATACTCTTGGTCAATGCCCTGATGTGGTTCTTAACAGATCCCAAAGATTCTTCTAAAAGAATCATTTCACTGACGCCTTGGGCAATTCCAGCCTTGCGGAACAAGGATTATTTCTGATGTGTAGTTCTCTGCTCTGCCCACACACTCCTGCCTAACCCCAAGTGCAGAAAAAACTTTCATCAGAGTAGAAACTATGTTCTTATATTAAATAGATATGTTTAAAAAATAGAATATAGGATTATCTATCCATAGCCTAAGGCAACATACATGGGAAATCTTTTCCAAGTTCTCTATTATCTAATTTTACTTCTCAGGTTTCTGTCTGCAAGTTTGTTTCTCTTAACCTGCAAGGATACTTTCATTAAGCATACATTTTTGGATTTCCATTCATTGAGCACCAAGTTAAGATCCTGGGCTAGCCCCTGGCAATGGTTGTACATGTGGAAGTTACAGCAATGACTAACACAAGAGAGTTTCAAAGGTTGTCTCTCTACTCTCCAGGTGGTTGCTACTCTGGGGACCACGTCTTGCTGCTCTTTTGACAATCTATTAGAAGTCGGCCCTATCTGTAAGTATCTAATTCCATATTCTTTTTAAAAACTGTTCTTAGCCAACCTTTCTTTTTGGATTTTATTCCTTATCATTCACTTCATATTGTGATGATTTTTCGAACTCTTCTTGCATTTCCAATACTACAACCTCATTGACTAGAATTCTAAAAACTCAGAATTTGGTATAGTTGGACAAGAGCTGAGCTTAAGTACACCAACATTCTATCTGCATGGAAAAAAAATGCTACAAGCAATATCATAATGTTACAAAATTGCAGGCTATGCTGGCCCTGTTGAGGAGAATAAATTCTTCAACATCTTAAAGCAACTACCATTATATGAGGTTTCATTATATATACGTGACATCTATATTGCTCTCGCTTACATTGAGTTTTGTGGCATATTTTTTAGCACTACCCCCCCTCCCTGCCATTTTAATATTACAATCATGCACTATATAACATTTCTATTGAGGACAGACCACATATAGGATGGTATATGCCATATGGCCTCGGTATGCAGCAGCCTGGACCATCTAGGTTTGTGTAAGAACTCTATGATGTTCTCACAGTGACAAAATCGCCAAATGACCAACTTATTTCTCAGGACCTAGCCCATCATTCAACAACACATGGCTGTGCTGAATGTACTTAAGCAGATTGCTTAAAGTAATTTAGCAAATCAATAGGTTGAAACTGGATTTCTCCAAAGAATACTCTGTGATTCACATGATGTGCTGACTCACGCCTACCTCTTCCTCCCTTCAAGCACTTTGGTTTTCTCATGGAGACTATGATTCTGCTTCCCAAGGTACAACATGAATAAGTGGCTGTGTTTGTAAAGTTTCAACTTCAATGGGAGACTCTGGAAACTCCACAGGCCTTGGAGCTCTTTCTAAGGATGGGAAAACTCTCCTTGGGCACCAAGGAGACACTGGTCCATGAAACTCTCCCTTTCTTTGTCCCTCGGATATAAACATTCCAGGTAGAGCTGCCTCAAAGTCAGGCTCTCAGGCTGAGCATGGTGTCGTACACCTATAATCCTGGGGCTCAGGAGGCTGAAGCAGGAGGACTGCAAATTCAAACTCAGCCTCATCAACTTAACACGCCCCTAAGTAACCCAGTGAGACTCTGTCTCAAAATAAGAAAATAAAAAGGGCTGGGGGATGTGACTCAGTGGTTATTGAACCTCTGGGTTCAATCCCTGGTACCAAAATTAAATAAATAAATAAATAAATAAAAGAACAAAAAATGTCAGACTATCATGCCTATGTCTTGTGCCAAGCAACATGCCACTTGCTTGGCACTAGGCCCAATTCTCGGTCTGCATACATCAAGTACGTTTCTCATATCTCCTAACCCAGGTTGCTCCTGTGCTCTGTTCTCAGGAGTGGATCCTCCTCCCCAGGACTAGGTCCTCTGGTTAGTGTCTGGGGAAAGTGGGTGCTTTAGGTACTCTGCAGTGATGGTGGGAGACCATGGCCCTGGCCACAGAGAAGCTGTGGTCCATCCAGCCCAGGCCTGCCCCTTACAGCTGTGTGCCTTAAATTCTGAATTTCATTTTCCATATTTCAAAATTGGAGGGAAAATCATCAGTTGTCATTGAAAAAAAAAAAAATTTCCTTCGGAGGATTGTTCCGAGAACGAGATAATGCAGGGGGACGACTTGTTAAAGGTGGACAGTGTTGCTTGTGTTATAGGGAATGCAATGCTAGTTACGTACTCTGGGAAGTGGGGTGGGTACACACTTTCCCGTTCACCCAGGATTTTGCTCCACCCATTATGAACTATGGCTGAAGGCAGCCAAACACAACCAGGTGGAGAAGAAGAGACAGAACTAACTGGCCGGCACAGGGTTTCGGTGTAGCATTGGCCTCCTTAACTGCAAACCTTCACTGGCTCAGCCAAGCAACTCAAAGTCCTCTGACTCAGATGTCAGGCTAAAAACTGAATGTCCTGGCCAAAAGCTGGGTCATGTAATTCCCTAGGGCTATCAAATTTAAAGGGCCAAGGTCTTCTGTGGCTGCTGCCTCCTTAGCAGATCGCTGTCCACCAGTGGAAGCAGGTGATGATAACCAGCAGGTGACATCTGCCATTTGTGATGACCCAGTGATTGCATCTCCACGGTCCTGCTGTCCTGGTTCCCTCTGCTTTGCAGGGTCTGGAGACTGTGGGTAGAGCTTGGTTTTTGTTTATGTTTGGTTGAAGCCCAGAGGTTGCTTCTAGGTTATGCTTGGGGAGCTGACACAGGTGAAGGCAAAACCCTTTCATCCATTGCCATAGTTTTGTACTTGAAGATGAAATTACTAACTTTGGGTTGGTATTGCCTTAGCAATTCAGACAGTACCTTTTTAACCTAATTTTCCTCATCTCATACCTCTCATTTGACTATCCTCAAAGAGTTACCATTCTTCAAACCCAAGCTGCCTTTTCTGAGACCCTGAGCTGACCTCACCTTAGAGTATGATTAAAATAATCTATTAAAACAATTCAAGGAAGTTTTTCAACCACCATCATTTGACAAAGAAACAAAGCAGAAGATGATTGCCCTCAAATTTCTGTCTTAGGAAAGACAGTTTCTTTTTAGTCACTTTGAAAATGAATTCCCCAAAAAAGTGGTTGCTACTAGTTCACTTGGACAAGGTAGTTGCCCAGGAAGGTTCTAGTGAGATACAACAAGAAGATACTTGATGACAGTTAGAAGCCAGGTGTGCAAGTGTGGAAACTGAGACTGAGACATGGCTGAATAGGTGAGGTGGTCTCATGGAATGAGGAAGGGGAACAGTGTAGGGGAGGCAGACAAAATTCTGTCCTGAGGGTCAGGATGGCCGTGAGGAGAGCATGAAGCTGGAGGGGCAACCTGGCCTTGTAAGAAAACAGGTGCCTGTAGCAGGAGGCTGTGGAGGTAGCCCCTGTCCTCTCCACCCAGGTGACCTTGCTCAAGGGCTAGTTGTATCACCGACCCATGCAACTCCTCTAGCTCTGGCTGTGGATCTTCTGTGTCCACCCAGTTCCTAGATGTGCCCACATATGTGGGAAGGAAATGTGTGTGTCAACCAATCACGTACAAGGTGCACATGACAGAGGTGGCATCAACCAGGCTTTTCTTCCCCAGGCAGAAGAGAAGCCGACATGGAAAGAACTTACAAGGAGTGTCTATGAGTTCCCTTCTGTTGGAATTTTAGGCCAATACAAGCTTAAAGGGTGGTCCATAAGACCACCTTGCTCTGACTGCCCTCACTCTGACACCTATTCCAAGTTCAAATCTTCCCCACCAATTCCTTGAGGTTTGATCATCTTCTAAAAGACTAACAGTACTCAGTAAAAGCTATGCTCCTGGTTATGGTTTATGGCAGGGATTAAAATCATCCAAGGAGGAGACACACAGGTCAGAGACCAGGAGTGTGCGAACATGGAGCTTCTGGTGATCCTCTTCCATGGAGTCATGAGGGCATGGACTCTCTCAGTCACAATGTCTAACCATATGCATAGAGAAGGGAGATTTTTCTAGCATGCAAATTCACCAGACTCTTTTCTGTTGGATTTACTTTTATTCTTTTTAAAAAATATTTTTGTGGTGCTAGAGATTGAACTCCCGGCCTCATTCATGCCAGGCAAGAGTTCTACCACTGAGCCATGTTCCTAGGTCTCTTGTCAGTTCTCATAGGGCCTTGATCATACTCTGCCTGCTTGGCTGACCTTTGGTCTCCAGTTCCTCTTGGAAGCCCAGCTAATACCTTTAGTAATCAATTTCTCAAAAGGTCAGAACTGATATGGCATAGTCCAATGCCCCCATCATAAATCATATTGAGATTATCTGAGGCCAAAGGCCCAGGCAAAAAAAAGGAACTTGTATTAAGCAGGACATTCTTGTATTAAGCAGTGGCCCAACTCCCAGGAGCCAAGGGCAAAGGCTAGATGCTTTGGTAGTAAGTTACATCTTTATTGCATATCTTTTATCTGGTGCCCCCTTCCCTTCTCTCACTAGTTCCCTTGGTCTTTTCTTACCCATCACCCCCTCCCCAGGTGTCTGATGCATTCTGGGATGGCTTGGGTGCTGACATCCTTCTTGATCCCATCCTGGGGTTCAGGACCTCATCTCCCCTCTGGACATTCTGGAGGAGGTGCTGTGAACTGAGGGGTTGTGGGACTGAGTGCCTTTCTTTCTCTTCTCTATTTTGCTGTGTTACCCACCAATGCCTATGCATGGTGGCTATGGGAGGAAGAACAAGGAGTAAGAAAGAAAGAGAAGCTCCTTGACTCCATCTGGATCCTGCCCCTTGCTCCTCCCATCCTGTGTCTGGTGTGTTCATCCATCTTCCTGTCCAGTCTCGGAGTCTTGCTCTGCCTCCTGCCTTCATCCAACAGTCCTGAACTGAACACAAACATTGACATCTATCAAATTCTACCAGAGGGCCTCAAAGAGAAAAGGAAATTCCATCACTAAAAGTCTGTGTGTGGCCCAAGCAGCTCCCATGGGAAGACCAAAATTGCCCGTAGTCCATCTGGGCTGCTTAACAAAATACCATAGACCAGGTGGCTTATAAACAACAGAAACTTGTTACCTCATATTCCTGGTGGCTGAAAATACAAGATCAATGCTCTGGCAGATTCAATGTCTGGTGAGAACCCATTTCCTGGTTCACAAATGGTGCCATCTGTGTGTCTTTACATGATGACAGGCATGGGGCTCTCTGGGGTCTCTTTTATGAGAATGCTAATCCCATTTTTAGAGGTCTACTCTGATGAGCTAACTAACTCCCAAGGGCCCCACTCCTAACAGCATTTCCCCTGGGGTTAGGATTTCAACATATGGTTTGGGAGGAACACAAGCATTCAGACCATAGCATGCTATGAAATTCTGTGCCCTCTCTTATAAAGGAATGTGAAGTTTCTATTGACCCCACACACATCTGAGCTGTAGCTGTTCTAGTCATCCTGTCATCATCTCCTGAATGACTCTTCAGGAAGAAGCCCCATATTATGCTAGGGCCTTGTCTCCTGCCTCATGCACATGGGGTCATGTGACCACCAGTTGGGTCTGATTGTTGGAGAGGTGATGAACCCAGACATCTTGGCCAATAAGCCTTCCTTCAGGCCATTCAGGTCACCCTCTGCACAACGGTCTTTGGCTATGGTGCCCTGACGTGTGCCCTTACAACACATTTGATCTTGATCCAACTGAGAGTTTTAATCCTGAAGATCAAACCGAGTCAAAGATTTAAGATGTCTTTTGTATCTTTTATCAGCAGAGTTCAGAGTGACTTATCTCTCCTCAAAGTACACTGGTTCATGAGAATCATATATGGAAAAGTGAAGGGTGGCTCTGCTGATCAGCACAAGTACGGGTGCTGACTCTGACATCTGGCACCCTCATCTGTACAGGGCACAGCTTCCTCCCACCCGCTCCGCAATTCTCACTTATCTTGTGATTAACCGGTGCCTGGAATGAGGAAAGACTAGTCATGGAAAATGCATTTATTTCTCACCAGCCTTGTGCTGAGGGTTGTGATAGGCATGCTGTGAAGATTACTTAATTTATTGCTCAGAGTTATGGGTACAACTTGGATGTCCATTTTGCCTTTGAGGAGAATGGACCTTGGATGAAGCAGACAAAATCATAAAGCTTCTGAGCAATTGGAGCAGGAGCTGAACCCAGATATGTCCAAATTTGGGGAGCATCCCTGTGCATGAGGCTCTCTCACTCCCCACAAAAGCTTCGCCCCTGCTTCCAGGCTCTTTTGGTATGATTGGAAAACAGAAATCCACTTCATGATTAAAGATAGTGTAAGATGACTAACTTCATGGTGGTGATGGAATGGGGCAGAGCATGTGGATTGTGTGCCAGACCTTTCCTTAGAGGATGTTGTGAGAACTTGAGAATGGGTTGGCAAAGAGGATAGGGGAGGAAATTCTGGGTGGATGAGATCAGGGAGGACTGTAAAGGGTGGTGTCCCTTGAAGACAGTGAAAGGGTAAAAAAGGGGGGCAGAGGTGGCGCTTGCTGGCTCCTAAGCACTGTACTGAGCAGTGAGGGTTTGGCAATGGATTCTGTCTCCCTTACTTTCCAATCACTCACTGAGCAGCTGGCGTGTGTCCAGGGCCAACGGCACACACCTCTGCTCTCAGCTTCAGTACTTCTAAGGACAGGGGCCCTTTGGGGATCCATTCATTAATTCCACAAATACTATGGATGAGCTATATTTACAAGAAGGATCCTGGGTAGGATGAGGTCATCTATCCGACTACACATGGACAGGGTGACCATGTAAGAACTCAACAATTGTTTCTGGCTTCAGGCAAGAAGGAGGACATGTGGCTACACATTGATGCTGCATACGCAGGCAGTGCCTTCATCTGCCCTGAGTTCCGGCATCTTCTGAACGGAGTGGAGGTGGGTGAGATTTTTGCTGTGTAATAAGGTGAATTTTCTTTTTGTTTGTTTGTTTTACATCTGTGTGAGGTGCTGGCAGTCAAACCCAGAGCCTTACACATGCTGGATAACACTATACCACTGAGCTATGCCTCCCAGACCAAGTTTTTTTTTTTTTTTTTAAGCAGTATGTTTATCCTTTATGAAGATCTGACACTCAATTTCTCACTGTTGTGGTTTGTTTCAGCAAGTCATTTTCCAATCAATTCCACTGATTATTGGAAATTATGCTTCCTCAGGGTAAGGGCTGAGAACTTTCTCCAGTCCTACAAGTCAAACAGCCTGTCTTTTTGAGGTCCTCCGGATTTTGACAGCTATTTTTCAGTCTACGACATCCTGGGCAGAGTTATGCTTAATAGGTTACATTTAACTTACAAAATTATGGGAAAGTATTTAGGAACAAAATAAAAATTTAATGCATTTTATTCACAAGATAATTTGAAGTCCCAACCTGGAATCATCTACAATCTGGCTCATTGTGTTATTCACATTCTACTCCTACATCTGAGCATGATGGTTACTTTAACCAACATCAGCAGCTACCAAAGCTTTTAAAGTCCCCATGCACCCTTCAGGAAATTATAAAATGTGGCCCATAAAACCAAGTAAAATACCTGCTTCACTTGAGAAATAGCAATCAAAATTATTGATCAGTTCTCTGCTTTTCCAGAGAACTATGGAACATGAAGTGGTACAGACTTGCACCTGTGGCTATGCTGACTTGTTATTTTAGACTCGTCCTTGTAACAACTCACAGGGTACAAAGCCTTCCTCCCCAGAAAGCAATGAAGGGTTCTAAGAAGCTGCTGTTGGAAATGTGTCCAGGGAAGGAGATACTGAATCAGGGGAGTCGTAGTATTGACCAGGAAATAATTGCTTTCTGCTTATGGGTGGAAGGCTTGGTGAGATCTCCCCCTGCATGTGATTAGGATGAATGGTGCAAGTTTTTCCATTAGAATCCCTGGTTTTGTTACCAGAATTGCAGGTTCTGCTCTTGTAGTTCAACTAAAGTTGAGAGGGCAGAGGTTGATGAAGGAAAACAAGTTTATTCAAAACTGGCGCTGGGGAAGATAGAAGAAACCTCTTCTGTTTCGAATCTACATTTTGCGAGGGCTCAAAGGCATGAACAGCTTTTATGAGAGGAATGGGATACAGTGGACAAGATAGGAAGTATGCATATGTAGATTTAATTGAGCAGCTAGCCAAATAATATGCTAGGATTTATGATTCCAGGAGTTAGAGTTAGGATTCGAGCTTTTCTTTTCCTTTTTTTTTTTTTTTTTTTTTGTTTTCAGGAATTGAACCCAGGGGCACTCAGCCACTGAGCCACATGGCCAGCCCCTACCCTTTAAAATATTATTTTATTTAGAGGCAGGTTCTTGCTAAGTTGCTTAGGGCTTTGCTAAGTTGCTGAAGCCGGCTTTGAACTCAAAATTCTCCTGCTTCAGCTCCCCAAGCCTCTGGGATTATAGGTGTACACCACAGTGCCTCACTGATTCCAGTGTTTCAACCTTTGATGGTACCCACCAAGATTTGGGGGCCAGTTCCTCAGTTTCCATCCTCAGCTTAAGGAATTTCAGCCACCAAAAAAGAAAAAAAATTAATCAGGATACTGGGGAGACTGGGGCTCTGTTACAGTTTTGATCATTTAGAACTAGCTGTGCACCCTTGGGCAAGTTAGGTATTCTCTCTATGTCTCATAAAATGTATTTCATAATGATGCTTCTTTTATGAGGTTGTCATAACGAGTAGATGAGTCAATCATATTTAAAGGGCTTAAGAACAGTCTGGCACACAGGAAGTACTGAGCATGCATTAGATGCTTTTATTATTTTTCACCACTGCTTAGAGAATTTTCCTTAAAACCTCTCTCTGCTTGCATGTCAGGGTCAGGCTTACCAATCAATTTTCTAATTACTGTTTTGAATTCTCATAGTGCTGTAAAACCAGAAAAGTGAATGTCTGAGGTATAGAATACAAAAGCCCCATCTTTGAAGAGAATAATCCCCTTATTACTAATGAATAAAGTGTCATTCTTGTTTATATCTCATCATATTTATTCATTCACCAATTGCTTATCAAGTGCTTCATACATGCTAGGGCTTAGAGGGATCCCTGAGGATAAATGAAGCTTCCAGAAACATATGTAAGTCCTGGAGTGGGGGTTAGCTTGCAAGATGTTCTCATAATGTGATGGGAATACCAGCCCCTCTATAGTTCATTGCTGATAGCTAGTTTTGTGGATGCTTAGTGCTAGAAAATGAAGAATAAATTTCTATATAGATTGAGCACTCCTAATCTAAAAATCCAGATTCCAAGATCTGAAGCTTTTTGATCTCTGACATGACATCACAAATGGAAATTTTCACACTGTGAAACTTTGCTTCACACACAAAACTTTAAAAATATTGTATAAAATTACCTTCAGGCTATGTGTATAAAGCGTATCTTGAAACATATTTGAATTTCATATTTGGACTTGGGTCCCTTCAACCAAGCTCTCTCATTATGTATATGCAAATATTCTGAAATGCAAGAAATCCGAAATCAGAAACACTTCTGGTCCCAAGAATTTGGATAAAGGATACTCAACCTGTGCCATGCAAATACCTTTAATTATGGAGATAATACTCATTGCTTGGAAAGACTGTCCCTGGACAGCTTCAGGGAAATTCTTCTTGAATTTATGTGCTTCTCTCCAGAGCAGGGCCTGGGCCAGAAGCTCCAATCTAACTCCAGGTGTCAGGTTTGAGAGTTTTATGATCTTTTCTTTTCCCCATGGATTGACAACTTGAAGTTTTTCCTTTCATAGAAGGGTGCCTAGCAGTCAGACCACCTCCGAGATGAGCACTCCCACCAGATCCTATCAACAGCAGACAGTGTTTCGTGCCCAACAAGGAGTCATTTCAATTTTTCCTCCATTATTGTTCTGGACTCTCTCCTCGCCTGGCTGAGGGCTTTGCTGCTCAGTGGGTCAGATAAGCGAGCTGCAATATCCTGTGGTGGCCCTACCCTTGGAGATAAGAGCCTTTCTCTCTGTCAGCGGGAGGAAAATGTCACTGTTGGGTAATGAAAGAAGTTTAAACAGATCAGCCTCAGAGGAGGGAACTAATAAAATTCCTAGCAAACAAAGCTCCTCTTTAACCTTTTGTTTCCTTTTATCAACAAATGAAACTTGCTGTAATTTCCTGTCTCTTTCTCAAAATTACTTTTTTTGAAACCTGGAAGGAAATGAATATGTACCTCCAGAGTAGGTCGATGTGGAAGGTTGCCATCTGCTGACCAAATGTCTCCCTGCTGATGCTGACCTGGCCTCTTCAATCTTTGCTGCCTCCTCAGTGCCCATCCCAGGAACCAAATAGAGAAGATGGGTCAAGGCTTGGACAGATTGAGAATTTTTCCCGTTAGAAGATGGGGCCAGACTGGCTGCACAATGGCACCTCCCTCTATTTCTGCTTCATTGTGTCTTTAGACATGTGTCCAAATCCCCTGCATTTCTGATGAACTTAGTTCCTATTTATCAATCAGATGGTAAACCAGAGGGTGTATTTTGAAAAATCGAAGAAAGTCTCATGTATGGCAGTTCAGTGAGGATGAACAGTGCCCTCCGCAGCCACTCGAGGTAGTTGAAATCTCTCTTTTTCTCCTTGAAAATATGGTGGATGAAGCTGCTGCTTGGTTGTTTGCAGCTGCTACACATGATCTTCCAGCCATGGAATCTATAACTTTTAGGAATACAATAAACTTGGATATTGTTTTTAAGAATAGAGAAAAATACTTAGGTAAAGGGGAAGAGTTGTAATCTTATGGCATGTTGGCAAAGGAACTAATCAATTGCATGAAAAAAATGAGTTTCTAATTACTGTAAATTAGTTATGAAATTTTCACTTTCTCCTGGTTCATGATGATACATATAATCTAAGAACTCTGCTTGCTACATCATGGAGTTGAAAGAACTGTGGACATAAAAGTATTTCATGAGCACAGTAAGTACAATTTCTAGACATAGTACTTGTGAATTGAATATTCCAAATATCCTAGTACTTTGAAATACAATAAAGATACATTTTTAAAAAATGTATTTTTAGTTGTAGATGGATACAATGCCTTTATTCTATTTATTTATCTTTATGTGGTGCTGAAGATTAAACCCAGTGCCTCCCATGACAGGACAAGTGTTCTACCACTGAGCTACAATTCCAGCCCAAAATATGGAAAATTTTGATGTGACTTTAGACTATGTAAAATCTGAAAGTGCTTTCATTTGGAATATAAACTCTATTTATTTTGATTCCCTGTAGTATATTTTAACTGTACTTTTTTATCCTTTGAAAAATGTAAACTTTTAAAGGTCTTCTTTTATACTGAAACATCTATAACTAGTTTACTTTTTATTGTTCTTATTCTTTGACAGTTTGCAGATTCATTTAATTTTAATCCCCACAAGTGGCTTTTGGTGAATTTTGACTGCTCCGCCATGTGGTAAGTTCCCTTTCACTGGACACCAGTTACAGGCACCCCCTGCTCTGCAGAGATGATAGCCCACCTGAGGGAAATCTGGCAGAGAAGGATGAGACAGCTGAGGGGGCTCACCTAGTCGCTCAGCTCACTGCTGCTTTCGTTTCTGAACCATTGATGGAGTTCTTACTAAATCTTACCCTGGCTGTAAACTTTCATCTAGAACATGTTGCAACATACTGGCATGAGAAAAGAGAAGGCAAAGAGAGACAGTCTGAAATATGGTTGATGTAGCAGAAGAGAAAACAAATCCAAGGAAATTTCAGTGCATACATTTAATTAGATTGCTTCTGCATTTTAAATCTTGGATTCATCATCATTCTTGGTCTGATGCTAAGTTTAAGCAATCCAAGTCTAAATGCTTGGAAGCATTTGCTAAGAGAAAACAAGAGCAATTCTGTGCTCTGAAATAAATTTCCCTGGAAATTCTTAATAACAGTGCCACATACATCACTTTGGCTTTATTTAGAAGTAGAAAAAGAACTCAAAAATTAAAGTGAGTGATATTGTCCTACAATAGATGGTGTTTAAAGAAATAATGATGACTAGAAGTGGCACTAGATAAAACACAGAAACTTGTTCTTACAATTTTTTTAGAGTAAAAAATTGATTTATCAATCATAAGACCAAGGGGTCTTGCATGAATTTTATACAGTATGCAAGATGGCAAATTTTCAGCACTTCCAGTTATGCTTTGCTTTGCAAAATTGTTCAGTATGTAATCAAATGAATGATTTTTTTAACCTTAAAAAATGAGGAGGAATATAGCTCTCACACAATCAAACTCATGTCAGGTCTCTCATTTAAACAAATGAATAGTTTATTCTTTTACGGGTTTATCTAAAAGCAAACCTCATTTACAATTCTTTTGTTCACATCAAATTCTTTGTGTCACAGTCTTTTCCCCCAAACTTTTGATATGTGATTTTAAAAACTAATTGGCATATGGGCATTTCAGATTTAGTTTTGTCTGAAATACTAATCAGGATTTGTAAAATCTTCAGCTCTTTTGAATGTGAGTGCTCTTTTGTACTCGTGTGGATGTGTTCTTCCATTTTATTGAAAGAAGAGCACAGCGGTGATCCCTCATACAGTGTGTCAAAAATCTCTTTTGTCAAGTTTAATTTTAGTAGAAATTAATTTGGGGGGCGGGCTGAGATATTTGGTCCATTAGAAAGCTGGTAAGGAACTAGAGTTTTGAGAACTCTGTCAGAGAGCCAACAGGGGCTCACTCACTAGAACAGGTACAGTTAACATCCTTAGATGAGAGGGAGGCTTCCAGAAGAATAAGACACAAAACCATTCTGAGCTGGGTATCATGGAGCACACCTGTAATCCCACCTACTTGGGAGGTTGAGGCAGGAGGATTGCAAGATCAAAGCCGGCATGGGCAACTTAGAAAGACTTTGTCTCAAAACAAAATAATAATAACTTTTTAAAGGATAGGGATGCAGCTTAGAGGTAGAGCACTTGCTTAGCATGTGTGAGACCAGGATTCAATTCCCAGCACTGAACAAAAACAAATCCTGCCAGGAGTTGCTGTGTGAGGGCTGTTGGGGAAGGGATGGAGATCTGCCTGGCAGAGTTGGCCAGAGGAAGGACTCTTGGTGTGACAAGAGTTTTATCACAACCTGTATAAACCAATAACCTCCACAGTAGTTATACAGCAAGAATCAAATAGGTGTGGGCTTCATTCTAAATCCTGTACTTAGGTAGCTCAATAGAACCTCCTGAGCAGCCCTTGGAGGACAGGAAATTACTATGCCCTACCTTTACAGATGAGGAAACTAAAGCTATCATGGACCAAAAATATTTGGGACCAAAAAATATTTGGCCTATAATAAAAATACTGAATCTGCTAAGGAGGATTATAATAAATGGGGTATCTTGCTTCTTGTTCTGGACAAGCAGTACATTCAATAAGGCTGAGAAAGCATTCTGTACCAGTGATGCGGTGAGAAACATTTGAGCCTTCCCCAGGCCACTGTGTGCTTGTCCCCAGAGCTGAGGTTACCCAGGATGTCAGTCTTTCTGGAGCAGATGCTAGGAGAACTGAAACTGGGTTTTCATACGTCTCAGACAGACTCTACCTAGCATTCAGACACCAATCTGTAAAGAGAAATTGGATAAAGTGGAGATGACATAGAGAGGAGACACAGGAAATGTGTTATCCTGAGCCCAGGTCATTTGGAGAAGGAAAGGAAGAGAGTAGGATCACTTGTAGAAACAAACAAACACGAGTCCCAAGACACAGAAGTGGCCTCTGGTGTCTGAGAGCTTGCCTGAGAAGGTGATGGAGTTGGGGTGAGGAAAGCCAAGGGAGGGGTTGTTTGCAGGGTTTCAATACTTGATAAATTTTCTACTTCCCCATGGATTTTAAAGGCCAAAATGTTGTATTTAAATTATAATAGGAAATGTGCTCTTTCTCTTCTGAGCTGGCGGGTTCTGAATAGAATGGTTGTCAAGAATTTTTTGTGAGAGTCTTAGGAAAACGAAAAAAAATAAAAAACAAAAAAACAGCCTCTCCCAAACCCAAGATATTGTTCATGACACCAAAAATTGCATGAATGTTGACTGATGGAATCTGAGTTTGAATAGTGTGTTAATATAAATATTGCTAAATATTTACTATTTGGGACACTGTGCTTGTTTTGGTTGGTTTGCCAGACCTGTCATAACAAAGTACCACAGACTATACAGTTTACATGGCTGAGATTCCTTCTGGGGGACCTGGAGGCTGGAATTCCAACATCAAGGTGTCCATAGGGCTGGTTTCTCTGAGGCCTCTCTCCTGGGCTTGCAAATGATGCCTTTTCCTATGTGTTCCACATTGTTGCCCCTCTGAGCGTCTGGGTCCTAATCTTTTTTCCTTGTAAAGACGCCTGTCATATTGGAGTAGTGCCCATCCCTATAGCCTCATTTTAGCTTAATTAACTCCCAAAGGCCCTATTTCCAAATACAATTACAATTTGAAGTCCTGGGTCTTGGGGTTTCAATAGGTGAATTTGGGGAGTACACAATTCAGACCTTAACAGTGCTTAGAAGAAATGACTGAAGCTTTAAGATTAATATCTAGAGATTTAAACCTGATTAGCTTAGTTTAAACCCCATAATCCGAATCACGCCAACTACTTCCTGCTTTGTTTATTTGATTCTTACTAAACTTATGTTTCTTTTCGTCTCACTTACACCTAAATATACAATTTCTTATTTTTTTCCTCGTTGTTCTTTTCACCAAAGAAATTGTATTTTCCTTTTCATGGTGAATACTTTTCATATTGCCGTTACAGTGATGGCATCGTTGCTTGTGCCATAGCCTTTCAAACATCTGTCTAGGCTCTGCTCCCGGAATTACAGTGCAGGTGAAGCTGGACAAGCAGTTTCTGAATTAGGAGTAGCCCAGGTGTGGTTTTAGTCTGATTTCTAATACTATAATCAAATAAATGAGATAACCCATTTAAAAAGAAGAAAGGTTTATTTTGGCTCACGGTCTCACAAGTTTCAGTCCAAGATGGATTGGTCCAGTTGCTTTGGGGCCTGTGGTGAAGCAACATGTGGTAGAATAAACCACTCATCTTATGGCTAAGACATGAAAGAGAGATAGCAAGGGGCTGACTATGCACATCCCCTTTAAGGGCATACTCCCTTGTGACCAGAAGACTTCCAACTAGGTCCAATCTCTTAAAGGTTTCATCAGTTCCCAATACTGCCATGACTAGGGACCTGAGTTAATGGGCATCTGGGAAATATTGATCTCAGTTATACTAGGCATCTTATTCCATTTGGGTTGCTATAGTAAAATACCATAGATAGTTGACTTACAACCAAGGAAACTTATTTCTCACAGTTCTGGAAGCTAGAAAGGCTTGACTTTGATCAAGGCTCTGGCAGATTTTTTGTTGGTTGAGGGTCTACTTCTTCACAGATGACAACCTTTTTTGATGTCTCCTCACCTAGGGAAAGGGATGAGGAAGTTTTCTGGGTTCTCTTTTTTAAGGGCACTATTTTGATCAGCTTAGCATGGCTGTGACTAAAATATCTGACAAGAAAAATCTTAGAGGGGCTGGGGTTGTGACTCAGCGGTAGAGCGCTCGCCTTGCACATGTGAGACCCTGGGTTCGATCCTCAGCACCACATAAAAATGAATAAGTGAAATAAAGGTCTTGCGTCCAACTACAACTAAAAACTAAATATTTAAAAAAAAATCTTAGAGGAGGAAGTTTATCTTGGCTCATGTTTCAGAGGTTCAGTCCAGGCTTGGTGGCCTCCATAGTTCTAAGGTGAGGCAGAACATCATGGCAGAAGGGTGTGGAGGAGGAAAGCAGCTGAGGGCATGGCATCCAGGAAGCAAAGAGAGTACTCCACTCACCCAGGACAAAATGTCAACCCTAAAGCAATCATATCCTACCTGCCTCTTGTTACCACCCAGCTAATCTGTATCAGTGGATCAATCCACAGATTAGTTCACAACTCCCCTAATCTAATCATTTCACCTCTGAACATTCTCGCACCTGTCTCACACATGAGGTTTTGGGGAACACCTCCCATCCAACCCTTAACAGGCCCTTATCCCATTCCTGAAGGCTCCATCCTCATGAGGTAATCACCTCCCAAGTCTTAGTTTTGCGTTAGTTTTCAGACAAAACTAAACTGAATCTGCTAAGGAGGATTGTAATAAATGGGGTATCTTGCTTCTTGTTCTGGACAAGCAGTACATCCTAAGATCATCACCTTAGGGGAGATGGTTTCAACATATAATTCTGGGCAGAGACAAAGCATTCAGAACATAGCAAGAGGGAAAAAGTCACCATTTAGTCGAAAGGGCATTTGATTTTTGAACATTTTGGAATTAAAACTGGAGCAATTATTTTTATACTTTGGGAGTCTGATCCAGGGGATGGAGTTTCCAGAATATAGATTACAACTGAAATAAATTAAGAAACTAATAAAATAAATTACAGGCC